GATCGCTGCCCGAGGGTGCACGAGGGTGGACGGTGGTCGCGGCAGGTGTCTGACCGGGCACGAGCTCTAAGGGCAATGATGCGAGTGGATTGGCCGACACGAGGACCAGACAGGACAGAGAGGAAGAATCCGCGAGGGGAACGTTGAAGGTTGAACGACTGGCCAATTGTGGCGGAGGAAGAAACGCGGCGGAAAGAAGAGGAAGGGAGGGCAGAGACGGTGTCAACTGCACAGCTGATCGCTGATAAACATGAGAGTGCCGCGTAACGCGAGCGTTGTGTCCGTTTGTTAACTTGATGCCATCCAATCGAACGATCCTTATCCACCGTGTGACAGAGTTGTAGAGAGTTGTCCGAGCTGTTCATATCCTCGATCCCTTCGAGCAAAGGGATTCGCATCGAGGACAACATGGCATGCCCTTTTTCGCGGGATCTCTCGAAGGCTGGCTGCGACGAGCAGGCTGGCAGGGGGGACAATGATCGTTCGAGGATCGCCAGATTGGGAAGAGACGATGGTGGCAAGTCTAGGCAATCGTCGTTCGAAGTCACCTCGTTGCTGATGAGGGAGGAGACCGAGGACGCGGAGGACACGCAGACCCTCAACCTGAAGCACCTGAGGGCGGCTGTGCTCGTGCTCACGAATCCATCGGTATCGTCTTTATTATTACATCTATCTATCTTTCTTTGCGTTTCTTTTTTATTTATTTTTTTCTTTTTCTTCTTTTCTTTGGAAGTTAATTTACCTGTTAGTTTGTTTACCTGAGCTAGATTAACGAAGTATAAGAAGTTTGGAGTATTGCATTGACGAATCCATCGAATGATCGTGTTTATAAATTTATCTTATCTTTCTTTCAACTGATGGTTAATCCGATATTTGTAATAACAGATTACGAAATGTTATTTCACACGTACGTTGAGATAAATAAATAAATATATTCGTATATATATGGTTTTGCGATAAAATTCTTGGAACGGAGAAAGTTCGACGAGGTATTGCGAGCTTGACAAAAGTTTGGAAAGACTTGGCGGAACGCAAAGACCAAGTTTGGTATAGGTTTGGGTAGAACGAGGAAAGAAAGATGGAAATTTATGCGACTTCATACTCGCCTAGTTTGTCGTCTTTCGATAAATTTTTCATAAAACTCGGGAATTCAATTTTCTCGGCCACCTATTCTCCTTCGTCTCTCGATTCCGCGCGCAATTATTGCATCCGAGATTCGAAAAGTATGTGTGATTCATGTGAATGATACAATTCGTCGATTAGAAGGAAAAGACTCGTGATAAATATAGATATAGGTGTTTGAAAAGTTTGTGAATAAGGGTAAATTAGTTTCTCTTCTCAAGAATGAAAATTGAAACACATTTTTTAAGCATGAGTTATTTATAGAATACTTTTTTCTTTTACTTCAATTTTTTTTTTTTAATTCTTTTCACTTTTTGATTAAATCTTTCTTTCTTGAAGTTTACACGAATGAAAATTTTAATTAATGTAATTGTATAATATTTTCATTAATGAAGAATGTATTTAAGAAAATATGAGTTATTTAAAGTTAAAATTTAAAAAAATAATCTCGCAATCATACTTGCAAACAGATAGCAATTAGTTTTTTTTATTCATAATTTTATTTAATTGTTGTTCTTTTTGTTCTTTCTTACGTAATCTTTATGAAAGTATTTTTATTATTTTTCAAATACTATTTATTACAATTTGTTTTTTTTTTTTATTATTATTCAAAGAAAATATATTATTCCAAAGCTTTGTCATCGATTAAACTTCGATACAGTTGAATAGCAGATGTCACCGTTATTATTGATTTATATCACTTTTTAACATTATCTTGATATATTTTAAATGTTTCTATTCGAGGTATGGAATTGAAAACAAATTACTTGGAAATAGAATCGTTAAAAAGTTAATAGTTTTTAGCATATTCAATTCTTTTCGTGAATTCATCTTCTTATAGAGATAATAAATATTCAAAATGATAGATATTCGCTTAAATTTCCGCAAATCAATGTATTTCATAAAAATTCACAAGTTCTATTCATTGCAAATGACGTTTACGATACTGGCGAATTAAATAAATGGAATCAAGAGTGTATTATGCGTCATGTTAATAGAGCATTTAAAACATCTCTCAAAAATCATTATTCATTAACAGAAAATAGAAATAATTTTGGAGAAACAAAATTATTTACTCATAACTTTTTTTTAAAAATAAAATTTCCAATGTAAAAAATTGATAAAATTAATAGGATTATATATATATTTTTTACTTCAGAAATCATTTATCAAAATCCAAAAAATTTCCACTATTTTTCTCTTACCTCTAAAAACGCGTTCTTCTTCAAAGAAATTTTCTATCTCTCCTGCAAAAAAAGAACTGAATCTTTTTGCACCGCCAACGCAATTACAACCCTGTTTTTCATTAGAAATAAAAAATTACCGTAACAAAAACCATTCCTCATCTTGAAAATTATTCGCCAAAATCCAAAAAATTTCCTTTACTTTTCCCTTATCCCTCCCTTCTCCCTAAAAAAACTCGACTTTTTTGCACTATCAACGCAATCCTCCTTGTTTCTCTAAAAATAAAAAATTCACCATAATCGTCCAACGTTTCGTACGCATCAGATTAACCTAATCGCAGGAAACCAATGGAGAAGATCGATTCATCGATCGTCCCCAGTATCGTTTTGTTATTAAACGCGATCGTTCCCAAAGAAATATACGTTGTCCGCTATTGCTGATACAAATTAGAATTCTTCCTCGCGAGCGAATTGGGTTGGAAATGTACAATAAACGTGAACAGAGATACCCTCCTATTTTTTCCATCACCCAAAAAAAATCGTTCAAGTTTCTTCCTTTATTTTTTCAAATCCTTGCCCGATTTAATTATGCTCCTCCAACGAGTTCGCGCAGAAAATATTTTTCGCGCCAATTTCTCGAAAAAGTTAGAATCGTTCCGCGGTTTTATCGTCTTACGCGGATAATCGACGAGCTAGCCATTCGACGAATTTCGCGAGTTTCTTTACTTCCTGCGGTTTGTGCCTGGCGAATTAATTCGGGGATAGTTTTAATTAAAATACCGAGGAGAGTGGTTTTCTCCAACCAGGGATCGATTTGCTCGGGGTTTTTATTTTCTCGGTGAAATTCGACTGATTTCGTTGTACATAGGAAGTATTGAAATTTTGGGAAAATATTAGCTTTTCTAGTTTTTTTTTTTTTTTTCGTTATGATTTCAATAGAGAAAAATAAATTTTGTTGTTTTCTTTATTAGATATATTTGATTTTTTTAAATTAATTTTTAATTTCGTGGATTACGTGAATTATTATTACGTTACAAAGTTTATTTTCTTATTAATATATTTTCTTATTATTACGCTTGTATCAGTATTGCAATTTTATAAAAATTACGAAATTACGAAGAGATGTTAATGTGCGATATAAATTGTAAAATAGTGAGAAATATGAAGAATATTGTAGAATTTGAATTGAATAATGATAAGATAATGTTGATAAGATTTCTCTTCAACTATCGAATAATAATTACAACCGTCAAATAACATTCGAAATAATAAAATAATCATTTCCTATTATTTAATTGTTCTATCTCTTAAAAACAATTAGTAAAACTGATGCAAAGAAGGAAATGAAATCTCGTATAAATCACGAAGCATTGGTTATTACGTTCATTAAATCTCTTGTCGTTATGGAACAAGCTTAAGTTTCTTCTTATATTAATTATATTGCCTCGGATGGCCTTTTAATAAGTTAATTTTCCAATTATCGTATCTTTCTTAACTTCCTTAACTTCCCTTCCTTTTTGAACTTTATTCCAAACAAAACAAACTTCTCTTCGACAACAGATTTCGATTTAATTTCTCGGGACAAACAATTCATCCATTCGTCTTTTTCCAAAACGTATACCATTATATCTCCATATTTTTAAATATTTCATAAAATATATAAATATTTATTCTACCGATCTAATGATCCTTTCTTCTCCCATATATCATCGATTTATCGAAAAATCGGCATCAGAGCATTAAAACGAGAACATGATTCGAACTCTGAATCAGAGATCAGAATTCATTGCGAGAACCGATCCTCAAACCGAGACGAGATATCATATTTTCTTTCCCCTTCATCATAAAACTCCCATTAATTTCCAACGTATCAATTCAGAACAATCGATTCACACGTTCTTTGTAGAAAATCTCGAATACCAATTCACATTCGTAAAACGAGCATCGTTTCAACGACTCAGACCCTCTTTGACCATCAGTAAGAGAGAGAGAGAGAGAGAAAGAGAAAAGATGGAAAGAGCATGACTAATACGAGGTAACGCGTAATATGAATTTCAAATCAAACAGCGTCCCGTTTGCTAAAATCGCGCACATTGCTGTATACCCTTCCACAAGGGTACAACCACTTAATTCGAATTTGATACCTCGAATTTATCTCGCGGGGGATGATTTCCATACCGAGTGTCCGACAAGTTTTCTATCCATCATAAATTCATATTCACAACTCCTCCTCCTCTTTCTCCTCCTTTTTCTCTTTCTCTTTCTTCTTCTTCTTCTTCTTGATCATCCCACTTCTAGATCACGTCGCAGATATTTCATTTGGAAGTTATCGGATTTAAATCGGTCGGATAGCGGAAGATCTTAATGGCGGGGATTTCATCGATCCCAAATGAAAGGTTCCACCCAAAGGTGAATGGAAATAATTAACGGATCGCTTACATAATTCGAGATCAATTTTACGCGAGTTGACAAGTGGTTGGAAACGTCGGTCGGGAGCGAGATAAAAATCCAATGTGTACATTTATGATCCTTTTCGCTCGTTTAACGAAAGGGGCGAAATATTCGGATTTTCGAGTTGTTATGCAAATTTTAGAAGGAAAGAAGGAGGCTGGAAATCGCACTCCCCTCTTCCCTCTACGTGAATACGATTGTCGCTTTAATGGCGCGTCCGGTGATTCGAAAGGGTGGAAGGGCGGCAAGAGATCCCTTGTTTAATTGCATCCAGTTATTTTCAATTGCGGCTTTGAATAATTTCCAGCTGGCGAAGTCGCCGGTTTTTTTTTCGGGAAATTAATTTGGTATTTGATTTAATTGGTTTGTTCATCGGGAACAAGATGGAATCGTTCGTTGTTTGGAAGGTAATTTTTTTAATACTCAAGTTTTTTTCAAGTGTGTCAAGGTGGATTAATAGGAAGAAATAAAAGGGATTTAATGATTTAATGATAATTATATTTTTGCGTTATCACGAGCTTCTATAATGATATTAAATTTTCATAACGAAACAGAGGAGAATAATTATATTTACATATTGAAAGCAGAGTCGGGAGAAAATAAACTTGGTAAATAATATTTTTTTTTAGATTAACAAAAGTTTTTTTTAAAGAGAAAGTTTAAATAAGGATATAATATATGTATATTAAATTGCAGGAGGGGAATTTTATCGAGAGAATAAATAACTGTGGAAGTTCGAAAATAATTGGAACCTTCCAAGTTGGAAACTCTCGGAATTTATAATTTGCGCGACATCCCCATTTCAAACAGATATTCATAAATTCGTTTCCTTCTTCTAAGTAATAACTTAATAAGTTACATTAATTGCAAGTCAGTGAGTGAGATTCACTT